AAAACTCAATAAATATTTCACTAAGTTTGACGGAATAATGCTTTTATTTAATTACAAATGAACTTATGTATGTACAAAATAATTGATTTTACTGCAGATATGTTGGAATGAATATTTTATATCTTTTTAAGTATCTTTAGTTAAGATATGCATTAAAAAAATTTAAATTTTCTCCATGAGAAGAGAATTATTTATTTAATTATTTGCTCTACAGAAAATAAAAAAATTTATATTAAGAAATTTTTAAAAATTCCAGATACAATTACAACATAAAATACAAATGACCCGTTTTAATAAACCTTCCCGGTTTTTCTGCCGACAGAGCTGTCCAATCAACTGCCAGTTTCTCTAAAATTAAGAGAATTATTTCGAAAAAACTGATTACGTTTTTTGATATGCTGATCACAAATTTTAAGTAAAATTTAAACCTTGCTGGCAGTTGGCAGCTATCAAATGGACTGTGAATTTTTCTAAAAATAGATTGTGCTATTTTTAAAAATGCCACTGATTAGGTTTTTGACATGCTGATCACGAATTTTATGTCAAATTAAAAATTTTACAATTGACAGCTGTCAAATAAACTGTTAGTTTTTCTAAAAATAACCATACTTTTTTAAGATCCTACTGATAAGGATTTCAGATACGCTAGTCACGAATTTACAACAAATTAAAACCTTAAGAGTTTACGACTGTCGAAGGGGCTGTCAATTTCTCTAGAAATAAGGAAAATTCCCCAATAATTAAACGAACTATGTTTTAAGGCTTACTGACCTCAAGTTCTGTATCACATTCAAACTTTTTCGGTTGACAACTGTCAAATCAACTGTCATTTCCAGTTGAGTAACATAATGTATTTGTTTAGCAATATTTTATCTTTTATATACGAGGCAACATATTTGAAATGAATTTATGATCATTAATTATGTTTATAAATTAGGGATAGTTGGGGCCGTCTGCTATATGTTCAGCCGTAACTATATATTCCAGGCCCAAACGGTTTTTTAAAGATTTTTTTATTTTATACGAAATTCGTATTTCCAAAGCTTCAGTTTTCTCGTTTTTGAATAAAATTGTTCAGGTTTTAGTTTTGGGAAACTTCGGACGCGATATTGAATTTTGTATTTTGAATTTTCAAAAACTAGTTTGAAATTTGTAGTGAGCGAACTTAAAAATCTCTAAATTACAAATTTCATGAAAGTTCAGTATTTTTTTTAATTCCTGCACGCCATATTGGATTCGTTGTTGGGTTTTTGGAAATGTACTTCAGCTTTGTTAAGACACATCTTATACATAATAATCTTCAAAACTGTAATACACTTTATGTTATTTGGAACAACTACTAAAGTTGATCTAGTGAAATAAAAATGGCGGCTACCCTTTTTGGCGCGAGTATACGCGGATTTTCTTTTCGTAGATCCTTAAAGGGACCTTTGAGTTGGCTTTTGGTAAAGGATTGAAGAACCTACTAATTAAAGATACCTTTTTGAAGAAAATATTTCTTGAAAAATAAGCCGTGTTATTAAGGTGAGGATAATTTATGTTCCATGTTTAAGAAGTAACACCAAACCAGTAATTAATGTTGTAATTGAAACTTTCCTTGAAAAAAAAATTTATGAAAGCTATCAACTCATAACTGTTAAAACGTGCCACGATCAAATTCGTTGAATTAAACATATCTAACGGCTTGCTCAGCAGATAGTATTGGAAATACTAATCAGTTTTGAGTTTGTTGGACATTTCTGAATAAGGATAGCTTTATTCCGGTTAACTTATCACAGTTTTAAAATATGCCTTTTTCGCGTAAAACATGGTTTCTCCTGCCACTGTGCGGCGTTTGGTTTTTAAATAGCTATGTTGTTATTGTAAGTTTATTACAACGTAATACCCATAGGGTAACCAAAAAATACATTGAGTTATTGTTTTTTTGCTGGTTATCCTGTCGATACAATGCTTTTTTTAAATGTGAACTTTGATATGAAAATTTGTATTTATTTTTGCTGCTCAACAACTCACGCTCGAGTGAATAAGTATATGTATGTATGTTTGTCAACAAATTTCCTTTTTTAGAAAAAAGTTTTGCTACTAATTTCACATTTATATGTATGTACGTTTTATCGTGAATGTGGCAGATTAATGCGCAAACGAAAAACGTCGGAGCAAATTTCCTGATTTTGCACTTTAGCAAATTGCTGCCGAGAGCACTGGGGCCTTCTGTTGGGGGACCCAGTCAGCATTGCTTCGTTTGCTCACCGTTAAGACCGCCACTGGGCTGCATACTACTTCGACCGGAAAAAATAATTGCCGATGAACCACGAGGAGGTGGTATTCAACATTAGATATGCATTTAAGTTCTTTACTTATGACGTGTTCCAAGTCAGCAAAACATGAAAGTAGTCCTTTCGCACATACTTCAAAACTAAGTCCCACTAGACTACCTGGTTATAAAATTTTTGCAATGATTTGTTCCTGTTCATATGCAAATGGTCCAACTATTAGTATTTAAAATAGAAGTAGTGATGCACAGCGTCGTATTACAAGGGCTGCCAATTTTCCCGTCAAATCTGGATTTTTTGAAGTCTATTTGCATGAGGAGGTATAAGATGTTCAAAAATATTTTAATTACAGTAATGATATCATAGAAAAAATAATAATTCCGTATATTACACTCTAAAAATTTTATTTTAATTTGCGCATATTAAGATAGGTACCCAGTTTCCTCTCTTAATGAATGCAAATTTACACACTGCTTGCTTACTTTTACTTATAATATGTGTGGCGTAGAACAAATTTCAAATTTGTTTTTTGAGTTGAGGTAACCAGTTTCCTCTCCTAGTGTGTGCAAAATTAAACACTGTCTGTTTACTTTTACATATCAAATTTGTCACGTTGCGCACACAAGAGGTGGGTTTTGGGGTTAAATTTATTATGATTTAAGAAATTTTGATAGAAAAAAATTTCTTTTCCATTTCTTGTGCGTCATTTTGTAAGATTTTTTTTTTCTTGAGAGCTCTTTAAAGTTTAACTGCGAATGAAGACATTGTCCTAAAAATATGCAATGCATGCTCACTTACTGTTGCTTTTTACACTTTACAGCCTAAAAAAGTTTAACACTGATATGTACTTAACAAGCATTCGAAGATTTAATTTGCTAACTTGGAATTCGTTCCACCAAAATGCGCTACATGATAAAAATACAAGTTCAGCTAAATTTTCGTTATTCGAAGTATTAAAAAATGAGAAACCAGAAATCGACGAAAATTAATAAAAAANAAAATTTCGTGAAATTATTTAATTCATTTATATAAAGATTCTTTTGTAAAATTTTGTATTACTTTTGAAAGTTAAGTGCACCTTTAGCCGTTAATTTTTTCATGATTTAATGATCGGATCTAAACCAAATTACGGAACGACCTTTAAGGTACTATCTTTCCGGTAAAAAAATCGGTTCACGCAGAGCCAAGTTATGCGGTGGAATAAATAAAAGAAGTAAAAATACTCCGAAAAATTGATAACCTCCCCTTTTTTGAAGCCGGTTGAAAATATCTCAGTTCTTTGTAAATTTTATGTAAATAAAATGCAATTTATGAAACTTTAAAATGTTTCTTTTTTATTTCGTTCTGTACATAAAACTTGCACAAATGTATTTTGAATAGCGAATTTTCGGTATTTTCTGATGATATATATTTAGAAGTATAAACTCTTTCCCCCAAAAAATATATTCCTGCGAGCGCCCCTGGCACTTAGTATTTATTATATGTAAAAAATATATTTTTACTTTCAAAATGTTTGTAATTTTAAACATTTTATGTGTATATTTATGTGTATATTTTAAACAACTCATGTTCAAAATGAAATCTTGAACATCTTGTGCGTATACTTGAACAGATTCTAGTTGAAAAATAAACACTTTTCAGTAGTAGTTTTACATGCACTTTTTAGAGTGTAGTATTAATTTTGTAAAATTGAATAATATAAGTTATATAATAAATTTTGGGCCGAAGTTCAAACTTATACGGATGCAGGTGGCAACTAATTGTTTTCGGATCAGGCGGATTTTGCACTTCATTCACTTTAACTACCATGGTCTAATGCAGACATGAAACTTCATTCATTGAGCCAAACTTGGTGAAAACAAAACAAAAACATATGACTCAAAACATATGATTTGCAAAAATATGATTCATTTATATACAATATATATATAATATAATAATATAAAATGTCTATCATACTTGGGCGTACAAAATTTTTGATTCTTATTTCCCCTCTCAAAATCGAGCTCACGATCCGGCCCTGTGACCAAAATTACAAAAATACTGCTAAAAAAAAGAATGGAGTAGGAATGGAAATCAATATGGTAAAATAACTTCGAAGTATTTTCTTATAGAAGTATTTAAAACAGAAAAAAAACACACTTAATGGGGTTCACCGATCTTTCCTTTGTCGTAAAAAACTGGAGCATGTAGAACCGACTGTCTTGAGAATGAGAATACACCGTCCGCTGAATCAGTCCCACTATGCAAATATAGTCTTTTTTTAGAGAGGACATCCATCGAGAATCAATCAACACCTTCGCCAAGACTCGACCCTATTAAGCTGGCTTTTCAGGGTACTATTTTATATATATATATAAGGAAAACTTGAAAGTTAGGGGGGGGGGGGCTCGAGCACCCCCCTGCCGCTACCTGGCTACGCCCATGGCAACAAGTGCTTTGATTCTTAAATTTAAGATTTTTCAAAAAGTGGAGTTAATCGATGTTTACTGAACGGCTCATATGATGCCGCGACGACACTAACCACCTTCCCACTTGCCCACTCACATCGGATCTGTCCTTTTCCTAAGCCTGTCGTTAGATGAGAAGGAAGACAACATGTAGTGGATTCACTGATTTAGACCAAGTTTGGTAAGCTGCTATAACAAAAGGAAATAGTGAAAGATTTTCGCCTGATTTTCCTTTTATTTTTAAAGTAATTTTCTGCAGTGGAAAACTTTCCAGTATTCAGATCTTTGATATTAATAAACAATTTTCTACTAGTCACATTTTCAATAAAAAAAATATTTAGAATGTTTGTATTCTGGTATACATATAATAAAAACTAGGTAAAAATCCGGTTCATTTAATAGTAGAAATACGGTTTACTCGGTATTCGAAAAACCAAGATTTAAAAAAAAAAACACCTAAAAGTATTCAAAACCAACCGATTCAATCACTCTATCTTTTGACAGATGTAGCCCGCCGTTTTCAATGTGCTTCAAGAATATTTTTCAAATCAATTGCTGAGTGGAAGATCGACCTATCTCGACAGCCAGCTCGAAAACGCTCTATCTCAAAAAACTTTTCAAGAACGTCAAGAATTCATTTCAAAAACACCCTATCTCAGCTTCCGATTCAAAAACGCCCTATATCGGCACATTTTCAATACATTTTGAAGT